TAAAATTATAGGGTAATTTAAAATATATATTATACATTTACAATTATTTGAAATCATTCAATAGTTTGTAGCATGTTAATGGAGTGAAATAGAGAAAGGCAGTCCACATTCATATATAAGATAAATTTACTTCAGAAGTCAGTTGAAATCTGTGCTCATGTTCTTAGTATAGCCATTGTGATAAGACCTAAAAGAAAAATATTAGAGAACAATTAAAGACATGCAGTTCACAAATTTTTCTGTTTAAGAAGCAATTGTTTGGACTTTGATGAACAAATAAGATATAGTGCATAGGCAGACACTCTACCAAGAACAAAAGTCCATTTGAATTTAGCTGATATCATACAGAAGAAATCCATCATATAGTAACGGGCAGTCACTAGATAGATTTCATGAAATCCCCGATGTCTGCCCATAGTTAATTTCACCATCAAACATACCTTCTACTTTATCCAGTCACATTAGCCATAAGAATCGCAGACATGCCATTTTCACGTGTTGGCAAAACCAACAGATTTTATCAACAGAAACATCAAGAACCTGTTCATATCAAGGCCCGAGGGTCACAAAGAGAGAGAAGTATAGCACTTCCGCTTTCCTTGAGAGAGCCCATACATAAAACACAAGCTTTTAATAAAACAAAAATATTCCAATTGTAAATGAGTAGTGAGGACAGTGAGGCATCAAAAAGTACAGGGCTTGGGGTGGTGCCGTGTGGCAGAGTGCTTGTCTAGCACGCATGAGTTTCCGTCCCTTGCACTGCGAACACAGAAAAAGTACACAGATGGAAAATGATCACATAGGACTGGGGAAGTCAGCACCATCAAAACTAAAAATGGAGATGATGAACCTTAAAAGATGAACAGAACAGATGCAGAACAGTGGGGTGGCTGGGCATGTTGGGAGAGAGGGGGCCAGGGGGAGGACCATGACTCTACATGAGCTTTTCTTCAATCAATAAATAATCCAACGGGCTCTACTCAAGGGTTTATGTAGGGAAGCAGCTTGACAAGATTGGCTCAGTGAGGCCTCAAACAGACTACAGAGACTGTTAAATGCCAAACTATGGAGTTATCACCTTCAGCCTATGGGCTATGGGGAACTCCTGAAGGTTGTGGAGTAGGGGATGGCTGTGAAATGAAAACAGAATGGCAATCAAGATGACAGCAATATGAAGACGGACACAATGAGGGGAAGGAATAGGGAGAGGAGTACACATAGCAGAGCAACAATTTGAAGATTTGAGGTCAAAAATAAAAAAGTGTACACCAAAAACAATGAGAGTGAATTCTCGAAAGAGCTGGCATCTAAGTAGAGCTGAGTAAAAAATATATCGCCACAGCCATAATCCTTGACACATGGAAAGCATTTAACATAAGTTTGCTCAACTGAAATTATTAATATAAGATGTGAAGCCAAGTGACTGAAAGAATGACTGAACAAGAATTATGGATCCAGTTTTTCTTGATCCAGAGACATGTTCATAATATTAAAGATGGTTGTGTCATTCAGGACCTTGCCTAAGAGTTTTTCTGGAGCTGACCTTACAAGCACAAGTCTGTGCCATGGAATATGTGCATTTTAAATATGGCTCACAGCACTGCAATTTAGCAAAAGGAAAGTAATACATTAAGTACAGTCTTAGCAACCAGATAAGGGGAAAAGAAATAACGTGAGACAAAAGTTATTTCTTCCAATGCAAGTGACCTCAAAGTGCTTTGCAAACAACCCTTCATCTGTTTCTCAAAAAAAAGGGGGGGGTGGCTGGGGAGATGGCTCAGTGAAATAAGCGCTTCCCTGGCAAGCACAAGGTCCTG